ATGGTTACAATGTCCCGGGATCCTGTGATTCTCTTTGGCGACCGTCTGACAAGCAGATTCAATGGGGAAGCCGGATTCACTTAACAACCGGGTTACCAATTTAACAAGTGCAGTGATTCACTTAACAACGGTGACGAGGTCGTAAAATGGGGCAAAACTCACTTAAGAAATGTCTCACTTAACAACAAAAATGTGGGACTCCATTGTGGTCATAAATCAAGGACTACCTGTATTCTTTATCCTTTCAGTCCCTCTGGCCATCACCAACATTTTCAGAGCTATTCATTCCCCCTCTTAATTCCCTGAAATGAGCAATTAATTCAGTGCAATGAGCAAAAATGTTATTTAGGCTACCAAGGTCTAGTAAGATCCTGAACGGATGTGGCATTCTGGATTGCCCCATCCTATATTTCTGTAAAGACATAAAACTGCCAGTTGTCTTCTATTAAAAATGTAACAAAAATATATAGTTGTTATTATTTATATATAATAAAAATATATGAGATATTGTGGAGTCTATCTATTGTCCACAATACAAAATGCTTCACTATAGATCTCCTTTGAGTTTAATAAACAATACAAATGTGTTTGTTTTTTCAAAAGATTACCTATAGTTCTCTTGGGAGCTAAGAAGCAATAAAATAAACTTATTTTTAAAAGGGCAGATAAAAATCCTTTAGTTACATAGGAACGTAGAACATTAAGGACTACTATTTTTGGATGTCAAAGCAGTTTAGTATAATAATTAATAACAACATGAATTCCTCCATAGACTTTAGTTCCTCTTTTATTCTCAGATTTATCCAGGGTCTTATTTTATTGTCTGAACCCCATCTTCCTAATGTTTTACGTTGTAAGTACAAGGACTTTCTAAAAGAGGTAGAGAAATAGGAATTTACACATTCATTATGTGTATCCATTAAATTTAAAGAGTGCCTTGAACTAATCTTTCCAGCTGCCCCAATGACTATGACTAAACCCGAAGGATGGAAGTTGTAATGCGGTAACATCTGGAAAGTACAGATGTTGTACTCCTGAAAGATACACTATTGAGTACATTAATGGTACTCAATAGATTCTTAAATATGATCAACAGCTGTGATCATCGCTACCCTTAAGAAGAAACAGAAATTCATGGGGCATTTTGTATTTATAGCAGAAACAAGCCACAGGAATATTGAATCAGCTGCAGAAGTTGGAGAGGATACAAGCTGGTTCTAGTTTTTTCCTTAAATTCTACGGGTAATCCTCAATTTACAACAGTTCATTTAGTGACCATTTGCAGTTACAACAGCACTGGAAAAAGTGACTTATGCCCATTTTTCACACTTATGACCGTTACAGCACACACACCCCATGGTCATGTGATTTGCATTCAGATTTTATTTTATTTATTTTATTTAATGCTTGTCAACTGACTCACATTTATGACGGTTGTGTTGTCCTGGGGGGTCACGTGATCCCTTTTGTGACCTGACAAGCAAAGTCCACGGGAAAACCAGATTCGCTTAACAAACGTGTTATTAATATGACAACCGCAGGGATTCCCTTAACAAATGTGGCAAAAAAAAAAAGGTAATAAAATGGGGCAAAACTCACTTAACCAATTTCTCTCTTAACAACATAAATTTTGGGGCTCAATTATGATTGTAAGTTGCGGGCTACCTGTATTAAGGGTCAGGCCACCTGAATATCTGGTTTAAATCAGACAGTTTGCAATTATTCTTAGTTGGTATGGTTTACATGAGAAAACTTGGCTCTGCTACACCGGCAGTCCCCAACTTACCACAACTGAGGCCAGAATTTATATTGTTAAGCGAGACAGCTGTCAAACTCTTTCCTTCAGACAGGGATGGTCCATGCCAAATTTGAATGGAATCTGATACAGGTAGTCTTCAACAGAGCAGTAACTGTGAGTGGGACCTTGGAGTCTTAGTGGACAACTAGCTAAATATGAGCCAACAGTGTGAGGAGGCAGCCAAAAAAGCCAACACAATCCTAAATTGCATTAACAGAGGGATACAATCAAGATCAAGGGAGGTACTAATACCACTCTATAAAGCCTTAGTAAGACCACACCTAGAGTACTGCATCCAGCTTTGGTCACCACACTATAAAAAAGATGTTGAGACTCTAGAAAGGGTGCAGAGAAGAGCAACCAAGATGATTAGGGGACTGGAGGCTAAAACATACGATGCACGGTTGCAGGAACTGGGCATGGCTAGTCTAGTGAAGAGAAGGACCAGGGGAGACACGATTCCATATTTTAGGGGCTGCCACAGAGAGGAAGGGGTCAAGCTATTTTCCAAAGCACCTGAAGGCCAGACAAGGAATAATGGATGGAAACTGATCAAGGAGAGATTCAACCTGGAAATAAGGAGAAATTTTCTGACAGTGAGAACCATCAACCCATGGAACAGAAGTTGCCTTCGGAAGTGGTGGGAGCTTCATTACTGGAGGCTTTCAAGAAGAGACTGGACTGTCATTTGTCAGAAATGGCATAGGATTTCCTACTTGGGCAGAGGGTTAGACTAAATGACCTACAAGGTCCCTTCCAACTCTGTTAATCTGTCAAAACACACGAACGATTCATTTAGTGACCGTTCAAAGTTACAACGGCACTGGAAAAAGTGACTTATGACCGTTTTCCACACTTAACAGCCGTTGCAGCAATCTCTATGGTCACACGATCAGAATTCAGATGCTTGGCAACTGACTCACATTTATGACGGTTGTAGTGTCCGGGGGACCTTCTGACGAACAAAGTCAACAGGGAAGCCAGATTCACTTAACAGCCCTGTTATTGACTTGACAACTATAGTGATTCACTTAACAACTGTTGGCAAGAGAGTCATAAAACGAGGTACTTAACAACTATCTCATTTAGCAAACAGAAATGTTGGGCTCAATTGTAGTCGTAAGCTGAGGACTACCTGTAGATACCTGAATTCATTATCACTTGTTTAACTTGAGAAGCCCACTCTCCTTTGATCAGACGCATTGCTAGCAGATATAACCTTAACTTGACTCCAGTAGTACATCAATTCTCCTTTACTACCAGGAAACAGTTATTATTCTGCTTTGTCCTAACTCTCATTATAATGAGACATGAGATGCTGCTTTATGCCCTTTTTCACGCATTCATTACCACACTGAAGAATCCACTAGATTCCAGATCCTAGAGCACCCCTCCAAAATTTTATTCCCAATAAGTTGAATGCTCCCATAAACCTTTGATAAACTCTACATCTGGAAAAGTTCAGAAAAGTTTAGACCCTTAGTGATTTGCCAACTCTGGTCCTTGGCAGGCTAAGGACAGTAATATCAATAGCAATAAAAAATGAGTGTGGTCTCTTAAAAACATTTGCATATATAGAATTTTCTTGAAAAACGAATACCAAAAATCAGAATAGTCAGGATCTGGCAAAGCTGAAGCATTTAAGCTTGTAATTGTAAACACAGGCATTAGGAACAGAATCCCTTGGATGAATGGGAATTAATTGTGAATAAACCTTTAATAAATATTCAGCTTTCTCCAGCCGGAGAATATTCAGCTTTCTCCAGCCGGAATGAAAAAAAAGCTTAAGATCCATGCATAATCTTCTATATTTCAATGGGAAAACCGACTGAAATGAACAGTGCCTTGTTTGAACTACTAAACTGTGGCCCAGTATTAGATTTCAAAACATCTGGAACCTGGATCCAATTTTAGCCTCCGCTCGTTTTATTTGACCTTTAAAAAAATGGCAGAAGATCAGTAGCTTTTACCTATACAACAGCTCCTACAGAAAAATAATAACAGCAAACTGAAACCTTGACTCACGAATACACACAGAAAAAAAAAGCTACTTCAGAAAAACAAAAGTAAGTTTCACACAATGTTTCTTCTTCCTAGGTTGTTGTTTTTTTAAAAAAAACTTTGTTATAGTATCATAAAAGAGAAATAGAACATTTCATGGCTCTGCGTGATTTCTGTGGTGTGAAAAAACGTCACTGTTCTTATGGGGCTAGGAACTTAAAATTTAGCCTTTAAAGATATTGGGAGGGGGCGTTTTAGCAGGGGTGGGGGAGAGAGAGAGAGGCTAACCAGCCCAAAGGCCTTCTGCAAAAATGGGACCATGCCACTATTTGGATTTTGCAGTGGGGAAATGGGAAAAGTAGCCAGTTAGATCACTTCAGGTTCCAACTTCTGCGAACTTTCCCAGAGGGAAAGTTTCTCAAAGGGAGCCTTCGATAAGTTATCTCCAATGAACAATTTGGAGGGCTGCTCCAGGCTCTGGGATCTAGTGGCTTCCTCAGTTCTTGATCGAAACGGATTTAAAGTAAGTTACTTTAAAGAGACCAGACGGCCAGTACTCTGATCTCTCTAAGCTAAGCAGCTTCAGAAACGCATGTTTAGAATATACAGTATTTTCTTGGGGAGGGGGAAAAAAAAAGCGATTTTGCAAATACTTTGGAAAGCACGAGAGAGAGAGAGAGAAAGAAAGAAAAAGAAAGAGAGAGAGAGAAAGAAAGAAAGAAAGAAAAAGAGAGAGAGAGAGAGAGAGAGAGAGAGAGAAAGAAAGAAAGAAAGAAAGAAAGAAAGAAAGAAAGAAAGAAAAGCGTTCGGCTCGGCTGGTTAGTTTTTGCCAACTTCCCAGCAAACAAGATCCTTTTTTTCCCCCTTCCTACTCCCCCTCCTCCTCGCTCGGATCCCGACCCCTCACCCTTCTGTACAGGGACCCCCGCAGTCGATCCCCGCAATCGATCGAAGGGCGCGGGCGGGGCTAGGAAAAGCGCAGCTGAGACTTTTTAGAAGGAATCTCGTGGGGGGGTGGGGGGAGAAAGGCAGAAGGATCCCCCACCCACCCTCCTCCACGCGGACTTCTCCAAGAAAGCCCCCGCCGCTTTTCCAAAGGGTCTCTCCCCCGAGGATCGGGTTTGCAGAGGCTCTCCACGCGCGCCAGCCAGGCAGGCAGGCCGCCCCTTCCACTCCACAGTAGATCGCTGGATCGCCTTACCCAACAAAGGGAAGCCGCTCAAGACGGGATCCCCGGACCCTGGAGATTCCCCCTCGCTCCGGATCGGCTGCAAAGAAGCTTCATGCCAGGCAGCGCCATCCATCGATCTGCTCCCGGATGATCCCCTGCTCGGATCTCCGGCCAGGCTCGCTCTCTGCGCTCCGTCCAGTCCCGGGTTTAGGAAGGGAAGCCCTTCATCCCGGTCGGAGAGCAACCACCAGCCCGAGCTCGCCTTCCTTTGTTCCCAACCCCGGGCTGGAAGGAGCCGCCGGCGGAGCCTGGGAGAGCGCGCCCCCCGACCCAATTCCGTGTGCGCCGCGCACGGGGAGGCGAGGCGGCGGAGGACGAGGGGCTGCAGCCGGGATCGGAGGGGGGGGTGGGGGGGAAAAAAAGGGGGTCTTCGAAGGGGATTGGATGGCGAGCGGATCGTGGCAGGATCCGGGGGGGGGGGGGGCGGACCGGCCCTCCTTTCGATTTTGCCTTCTTGTCCCCGCCCCCCATTCAGGGCTGAGATGAGAGGGGGGAGCTCGCGGAGGAGGAGGAGGAGGATCGGATTTCTCTCAACACCCCCCCCCTCCGCCGGGTAACTTACTCCGAGGTTCCGTTGAGTTGCCCGTTGAGTGGGGAACTGAAATTGGGGGGGGGGATCCTTGGCCAGATCGATGGCAAAGGAAAGGGAAACGGGAGTGGGGACGTGGGCTCCGGACTGATGGCTCTCTGCTTGTTGCATGATTATTATTTTTTTTAATTTGATTTATATGCCGCCCTTCTCCGGAGACTCAGGGGGGCTTACAGTGCGTTAAGCAATAGCCTTCATACTTTTGTATATTTTTATACAAAGTCAGCTTATTGCCCCCACAAACTGGGTCCTCAATTTACCTACCTTAGAAAGGATGGAAGGCTGAGTCAACCTTGAGCCTGGCGAGATTCGAACTTACTTTAATTGAAGACAGCTGGTGTTAAATTACACTGCTTAGTCTGCAGAGCTATCCAGGCTCCTGAATTGAAGATAGATGGGTTCAGTGGTGGGATTCAAGTAATTTAACAACTGGTTCTCTGCCCTAATGATTTCTTCCAACAACCAGTTTGCCAAATTGCTCAGAAAGTTAACAACCGGTTTTCCCCGAAGTGATTGGAACTGGCTGAATCCCACCACTGGATGGGTTTAAGATAAGGATCGGTCTTAGCCCGGTGTTTTTTTCAACCTTGGGAACTTGAAGTTGGGTGGACTTCATCTCCCAGAATTCCCCAGACGGCCACGCTCGTTTGGGGAATGCTGGGAGTTGAAGTCCGCCCATCTTAAAAGTTGCCAAGATTGAGAAAGTCTGCTCTGTCCAGATACACGCACACCAAGGGTGAAATGCTCCCAGTTCGGACCGGATCATGCGATCCGGTAGCGATGGTGGCGGGTGGTTCGGAGAACCGGTAGCAAAAATCCCTGCGCCCCCACCCCACCCCACCATGCTTAGCTGAGCAGCAGGATCATCAGAGGCTTTTTTTTTTACTTTTAAAACCATTTTTTCTACAACTTCTTCCGCCGAAAAAATGCTTTTAAAAGTTAAAAAAAAATGCTTTGAAAAGTCTCTGATGAGCGCAGGGCTCAGCTGGGATCGTCAGAGGCTTTTCCAAGCATTTTTTTCTGCAACCTCTTCCACCCGAAGAAGTGGTTTAAAAAATGCTTTGAAAAGCCTCTGCCAATCAGGCAACACAGCTGGGATCCTCAGAGCCTTTTCAAAGCATTTTTTTACATTTGCCGAAAAAATGCTTTGAAAAGTTTTTTTTTAAAAAAAGTTGGCCACGCCCACCCAGTCACATTACCCCCCACCACCACCAAGTCACACCCACAGAACCGGTAGTAACATTTTACATTTCACCCCTGACGCACACATAACATAACATAACATAACACATAACATAACATAACATAACATAACACATAACATAACATAACATAACGTAACAGTGTTGGAAGGGACTTTGGAGGTCATCTAGTCCAACCCCCTGCTCATGCATGAGATCTACGCTAGGGATTCCAACCGCCAAACTGTTGACCTTCCTGATTGACAAGCTCAGCGTCTTAGCCACTGAGCACACACACACACACACACACACACACACACACACAGAGAGAGACATAAACACACACACACCTACTTCCCTGATCTTCATTCTTTTACTTGAACCCACAAAACCTTCCCTTTCTCTTGAGTGGTGGGTTAGAAGCATCAGATAGGGTGGGGTGCTTGGCATGGCCCAAAGCCATTTAACCTTCCCCCTTAAACATTCAGAGTAGTGGTGAAGAGTTTTTTTCCCCACCCCCTTTTCCTAGGACAGTCTGTCCCACCCAACTGGGGAAGTATTGAGGGTGTGCAAAAAGTTGCCCGACTCCATAGACAATTTTCAGATTGCCCAATTCCATGCAGATTCGTCTCTCCTACTAGACCTGTTGGCAGAGTTTGCGACACAACACACTAAGCCTTAAACTGTGGTTAACCACCCATATGGGGTGGGTTCAAGCATCACATAAAGTCATGTTAACCCAGAGGTCAGCAGCTCTGGAGCCGCATGTGGCTCTTTCATTTCTCTGCTGCGGCTCCCTGTCGCTGGTCGGTGGCACAATTTTGAGAGGAGCTTCAAGTTAGGGAGGGGGGGAAGCATGGTGTGCCAGGAGGAGACTCTATGGCAAGGGGAGGGTTTTCCGGTCGGCTCCACAATTGATAGGGCTTTTGGTTAAGAGAGGTAGAGGAAAAAGGACACCGCACTAGGAGGAGACGCTATGGTGGGGGAACTGGGCTTCCGGTCGGTTCCAGAATTGAATGGGGACTTCTGTTAGGAGTTTTGTGGCTCTTTGAGGGTTTAAGGTTGCCGACCCCTGTGTTAACCCAAAGCTGGATCTTCTCTAGGGTCAATTGCATCAGTAGATTTATCAATCCAAGCTTTGGTTGATCAATCTACTAATCACATTGGCTCTAAGGAAGAATTCACATCACATCACACCACATCACAGAATAAAATTAGAATGGAATGGAATGGAATGGAATGGAATGGAAGGGAAGGGAAGGGAAGGGAAGGGAAGGGAAGAGAAGAGAAGAGAAGAGAAGAGAAGAGAAGAGAAGAGAAGAGAAGAGAAGAGAAGAGAAGAGAAGAGAAGAGACCCGCTCCCTGCTCCATCAGGAAGCGCGGGAGGACCCCTTGGAGGGAAGAGCCGAGGATTTTGTTCAGTATCTGTATGACAAAATCACTCAGATTCGGGCAAGTCTGGACTCTGACGGGATAGATCCAGCGGAGGGTGACGGAGACAGGTCTTGAGACTGTTATCTGGGATGAGTTTGATCCTGTGACCCCAGATGACGTGGACAGGATTCTGGGTAGATTGAACGCGACCACATGTTTGTTGGACCCGTGTCCCTCCTGGTTAGTGCTGGCTTCCCGGGAGGTGACGCGAGGCTGGCTCCAGGGGATTATAAATGCTTCGTTGGGTGAGGGTGTCTTTCCCGCCGCCCTGAAAGAGGCGGTGGTAAGGCCTCTCCTCAAGAAGCCATCCCTGGACCGGCAATATTGGCTAATTATCGTCCAGTCTCCAACCTTTGCTTTGTTGCGAAGGTTGTTGAGAGTGTGGTTGCGCGACAGCTACCCCAGTACCTGGATGAAGCGGCGTATCTAGATCCGTTCCAGTCGGGCTTCAGGCCTGGGTACAGCACGGAAACGGCATTGGTCGCGTTGGTTGATGATCTCTGGAGGGCTCGGGACAGGGGTTGTTCCTCTGTCCTGGTCCTGTTAGACCTCTCAGCGGCTTTTGATACCATCGACCATGGTATCATGCTGCACCGGTTGGAGGGGTTGGGGGTGGGAGGCACCGTTTTACGGTGGTTCTCCTCCTTTCTCTCTGACCGGTCGCAGTCTGTGTTGACAGGGGGGCAGAGATCGACCCGAGGCCCCTTATATGCGGGGTGCCGCAGGGATCGGTCCTCTCGCCCCTTCTGTTCAACATTTATGTGAAGCCGCTGGGCGAGATCATCCGTGGTTTCGGGGTGAAGTACCATCTGTACGCTGACGACACCCAGCTGTACATCTCCACCCCGAACCACCCCAACGATGCCCTTGAAGTGATGTCCCAGTGCCTGGAGGCCGTACGGATCTGGATGGGGAGAAACGGGCTCAGACTCAACCCATCCAAGACCGAGTGGCTGTGGTTTCCGACGTCCCGATATAGTCAGCTGACGCCATCGCTGGCTATTGGGGGCGAATCACTGGCCCCCACGGAAAGGGCTCGCAACTTGGGCGTCCTCCTGGATTCACGGCTGTCTTTAGAAGAACACCTGACGGCCGTGACCGGGAGGATTTTTCATCAGGTTCGCCTGATTCGCCAGTTGCGTCCCTTTCTAGATCGGGACTCGTTACGCACAGTCACTCATGCCCTCGTCACCTCTCGTCTGGACTATTGTAACGCTCTCTACATGGGGCTCCCCTTGAGGTGCACCCGGAGGCTCCAACTGGCGCAGAGTGCGGCCGCGCGGGTGGTTATGGGAGCAAACATGGAGCTCCCATGTAACATCTCCTGCGCAAGCTGCACTGGCTCCCGGTGGTCTTCCGGGTGCGCTTCAAGGTGTTGGTTACCACCTTTAAAGCGCTCCATGGCTTAGGACCTGGTTACTTACGGGACCGCCTACTACCATCAACAGCCTCCCACCGACCAGTACGCTCCCACAGAGAGGGGCTCCTCCAGGTGCCGTCAGCCAAACAATGTCGGCTGTCGGCCCCCAGGGGGAGAGCCTTCTCTGTGGGGGCCCCGACGATCTGGAATGAGCTCCCCCCAGAGATACGGAGGATTCCGGATCTGCGCATCTTCCGCCGCGAGTTGAAGACGCTTTTATTTCATCAAGCCGGCCTCGCCTAATTCTTCTCCCTTTAAACTGTAAATTTTAAATTTTTAAATGTATTTTAAAATAATGGGTTTTTAATCAGTATTAATTTCAGCCAAATTTATTTAATTCATTTTACTTGATCTTAAATTTTTGTATATTTATGTGTTTTATCTCATGGCTGTGCACCGCCCTGAGTCCTTCGGGAGTAGGGCGGTATAGAAATTCAAATTAAATAAAAAAAAATAAATAAATAAAAATAAATTCACATCACATCACACCACATCACAGAATAAAATTAGAATGGAATGGAATGGAATAGAATAGAATAGAATAGAATAGAATAGAATAGAATAGAATAGAATAGAATAGAATAGAATAGAATAGAATAAGGAAAGAAGGAAGGAGAATAGAATAGAATAGAATAGAATAGAATAGAATAGAACAGAATAGAATAGAATAGAATAGAATAGAATAGAATGAGGAAAGAAGGAAGGAGAATA